TGCGTGCGTGCGTGCGTGCGTGCGTGCGTGCGTGCGTGCGTGCGTGCGTGCGTGTACCTGGTAGGAAAGTATGTAGTTTTCAAGCACACAGACGCAAATCCGTAAGATCTTTCTCTCTCTTTCTCTGCGCCTAAACACACATTCAAGACAAAAACAACTGATCTTTGGCTTGTGTCTGTTAAAAGGCAGCTGCCAATTTAAATTCTTAATTTATTTGTGTTGTTATGCAAATAAATACATGTTTGCTGCCACTGGAAATTGTGGCTGTAAATCTTCATGGTTTAATAATGTGCTGATGACTGGTTTAGTGCTCACACACGCAAACATTTTTGGGATTAATAATGCAGTGTGTTGGTCCTGATAATGGGTCTCTTATGATTTGGAGTAGTACAAAGTCAAACCAAGTCGAAGAGGCTCAAGTTGATTTTATCTTCCTTTCTCACCTTTTTCATTCACCTCTTCTGTGTTTCTATTTCCCATTAAACTTTCATTAGGACCCTGGACTGGTCTTGACATCTAATGCAAACATTTTGAAAAGTCAGGCAAAAGGGCTCTGTGTGCATTGACACTGTCTATCACTATAAAGTCAGATGTTTATTTGATCCCCATCTGACATTTATTTCTTTACCATCTTGTGAAACGTAGCTTCTCTGACTTGTGCTCTTCTCTAAAAACATATCCTGGCTTTCAGTTGATTAGGTATATTTCCTGTTATTTGGATGACACAGCTTATTTCAATACCAGACATGCCTACAGGACAAATGTAGGGTTAAGCTTCTCAAAGTCAAAAGTCAAAGTCAACTTTATTGTCAATCTTTCAGTTTGTGTGTACAGACAGAGAGATCGAAATACCGTTTCCCACAATCCCGAACACAAAAAAAAAATGAATACAAATATGTATAAACCTACAGTATATATACACAATCAAAATACACATTCATACATATGCACACATTAAGACCTAAATAAAAGCACAGCAATCAATATATACAAAATAAAAGTCACTTCAATATCTTTGAGAATGTACATTAGTGCTTGCCCACTTTGACATGTTGACTGCAGAGGTGGGGGTAACTCTGATCTTATGTTTGGAAAGCGCCCACCTAAAGCCTATGCCACCAGTCGCCTGGCGGATAAGCTGACATTTCGCCTTTTTTTCTCTTTGTGTCTTTCAATATTCCTCTTAATAGCATATGCTTTCACCGCCCACCGTTGTGTTTCATTAATCAAGTTTTATCCCATCTGTTCTATCTGGCTTTTCAGAAATGTTAACTAAATAAAATGTCTCTTTCTCGGAAATATTTATTTTGTGGTCAAGTTAGTGGAAATGAGAAACCAAACTGTGTAGCCCCCATACCTGGTTAGCAATAATTTAATAACATTTCCATATGAATTTGCTCGGTCCTTCCCTTTTCCATCTCTTTGTGTGCGTCACCATCTCTTTGTCCTTGTAACCTACATGTCATTTCCTATATACTGTATTTAATTAATAACATAAGGACATCATAGGGTTCTCTTTGGACTGTCTCCTTTTATTAATTTTCAAGTTTGATCTAGGACTATTTCTTTACAAAATTATTTGAACCTACTTTACCAGTCTCTCTCTCTTGCTGATTGGTTAAAAACATGTATTTTTTGTATCTCCAGGAACGTTATTGGTTGAGAACATGCAGATAAATGGCGTGGCTGAGGGTCCGGATCGTACCATCTCTCTGTCGCTGAGGGATAACCACGATCACTGGGTGATCCTTGACCAATCCAAACAAGCCCTTTACCTCAACAGCACCGGACGGGTTCTTGACAGAGATGTGAGGCGTCTGTGTTCTTTATACAGACAACATCTGCTTCTTTTTTATTATTTTACTTTAGTGGTTGGACTTTACTACAAATTATTGTTATGGCATAATTCGCATGGCTGTTTTACTCTTTCCAGCATTTGTTATTGTGAGAAAGTTTTAGCTCCTGCTCATCCGTAAAAAAAACAAGCCTCCTGCTGTTTTTTGTCTGTAAAGCAAACCAAGCAGATGTTTTCAAAAGTGATTTGTAAACAAAAAAATACAAAAGAATGTTAGTCCTTTATGAAATATTGATGTATTTTTCATTACTGTACAAGCAAGCTTTTTAACTATTTATCCATTTCTCTGTGTTTCCCTTTTTCCAGCCCCCCTCGTATATTCAGTCCATTGTGGTTCAGGTTCAGTGTACCAACGAGCTGGTCGGCACGGTGATTTTACACGAAGTCCGCATCGTTGTTCGAGACCGCAACGACAACGCGCCACATTTCCAACAGCCAAGATACTATGTTGCCGTCAGTGAGGTAAAACACAAGCACACGGACATGGGGGTCAACATCAGTGTTTGCATTGACCTGCTACACCTTATGTACACACTGCAATGTATTATGAATAACAACATCCACCAAATAGCCTTGTACATGGCTTTTGCTGTCAGACGGGCAGCACCACAAGCACAGAAAGAGCAGAGTTTTTGGACAGCAGAGGAACATATCTGTTATTCTGAGCTTTCCAGAATAGTCTTTAAGAAGCCAATCCCACCGTTAGTGTGTCCTCCAGAGTCTGGAATTTAACTAGAGGCGGTTCAAGCTGAAAACTGGACAAGGAAACATGCAGCCTGCTGCCAGCGCAGACCCAGCAGAATATCTCATTATGCAGTCTTCCCCAGCCTGTCCAACTCAATCCCTCTCCTCAACCTCTCTCTTTCTCTCTCCTGGCCCTTCTTCCCGCTCTCCACTCCCAGCTCTTCATTATGTCACCTTTTTCTCCACCTCCCCGCCTTTCCTCTGCCACACTCTATATATTTCTGCTTGTCTCTCCTCCTCCTTCTTTCTTACAGCCCTCCAGTTTCTCATTACTCCTATTAAAATTATTCCTTTGGATATTTTTGAACGACCACCGTACAACAGATGCTTTATAAAGAACTTTGAGAGATGAGTCCTCTGCCAGCCAACATGAAAATGTAGTTTGTTAAATGTGGTTTTGGCTTTGTGGTCTTCATTTTTTTAAAGTTTAAACATTTGAGTGTGCACATTAGGCTATTGTTTAATTCACTTTACTTTGCCCCCAGAACATTAAACATTAAACTTGCTTTTTGTCGTCTATTACTACCAATTATTGATTGCAAGGGAGCGAGGCAGACAGATTAAGACACACAGAGAGGCAATATGCTTATTTATAAGAATGTCTGGGGCACAGTTTATGAGTTCTTCCTGAAAGTTTCTGGGTACAGGGTGATCCTGGGGGCTGATTTCTTGAGTTGGCACCGGTGCCAGAGTCTGCAGTTCTTTCATTAAAGCCGTATCCGAAAAAATTGCAAAGTGACAGCGTCAGACGTACTCACCGCCATTGTTGTATCAGTGGGAAGCATAACCCTGTTTAGGGAAATGATGTAACAAATCATTGGTGCAGCAGCTAAATTAAACTTAATGTCAAATGTTTGTCATGCTGTCTGGAGTTTAGACTGCTGTTTTGATACATAATCAGACAGGTCCCAAGGCACATGCCTGGAAAAATACAGCATGGCAATATATAGCTGGCAAAAAGCTTCCTTTTTATTTGCTGTAGAAAGTTTTCAACTCCCTGCTTAAGAACTTCTCTCAGAAAAGCCAATATCTTTCTGAATATCTATTGTAGCTTCGTTTTCTTTACTAGAAGTGAGTTATTCTGTTGCTCATGTGCAGTGAACATTTAAAATATTTTATTTACCGCTCAAACTTCGAGTTATTGTAAACAACGGCCAATATGGATTTGTTGTATCTTAGGCCATCAACTGCATGATGCCAGTGATTATTCGATTATTCGAATATTCGTTACAGTCTCCATAATCGAATATTATTTTTAAAAATCGATTTTATTTATATATTTTTTTATTATTATTTATGTTTTTTTTTTTTTCTGGCTTAGTTTCAACCAAAATATAGACTAATGCTAATAATAGTAATAGTATTAATAATTGTAAATGGCCATTGGTCACACCACCAGTTTGTTTTACTGTAAACTTGGAGGAAGCCTGCGTGCAGAGCAGACTGCTGTGCTGCTGCAGCACGCTACACACCGACCCCGCCCCCACCCCCCCTCTCTCTCACACGTGCGACTAAAGAGGAACAAAGCGGCAGGTAAAAAGAGTTCCTCCTCGTGGAACTACTTCGAATTTACAAGTCCAAAGAAAGTTAAATGCAAGCTCTGCGAAAAGACGTTGGTCTATCACAGCTCAACCTCAACAATGCGTTCGCATTTGAGTACGAAGCACGCCAAAGAGGTTACAGAGAAAGACGCAGCACTGCTGCGCATAGCGCATCTCCAAATAAAGGCAATGACAGGCACTTTAGAAAATAACAAAAAATAAACCAACATCATGTTGATGTAGATCTATTTGTCGTTTATTTTGTTTGTACTGTTAAACATGGTCCAGTAAAGAAAACAACGGAATTCCTGTTGTCTGAGTATTTTTTTTCTCCCGCGGGAGGGGGGTCGAATAATCGATTATTATTCGCCAGGGCTGCCGAATAATCGATTTTGATCATGGTCAGTTTCTGGCAACCCTACTACATAAATAAATTTAAACGTGTACAAAAATGCGCCAGTCATCCATTCTCCGAAAGGATTTTTGAAATTGGTCCGTGCGCAAAGCATTGTGGGGATTTGAAGGACGCGAAGTTTACCCATGTGCAGCCTCGAAATTACCCCCAAACCAAGGAAGTGGCCTCGATGGAATTCCAAGTATGCTGGAGATTGGAACAGTCCTTCGGCGGCACTCAATGACATAGTATCCTTGAAATATTGGCTTGGAAGCCAGTCTCCTAGCGATTGAGAAACGGCCACTGTCTACAGTGGGGCAAAAAAGTATTTAGTCATCAGTTGTGCAAGTTNTGGAGTGCGCACGGACCCCCGTGGGACAGGCTCTCCCTGCCTGCTCGTAGCCATGTGCAATGCCTCCGCAAAGCCAGCCTGCCAGGCGTTTCTTGCTGTCCAAGAAACGCCTGGCAGGCTGGCTTTGCGGAGGCATTGCACATGGCTACGAGCAGGCAGGGAGAGCCTGTCCCACGGGGGTCCGTGCGCACTCCACACGAGCTGTGGCTGCGTCAACAGCTTTATTCAACGGTGTGAAGGACATATGCACGGCGGCGTCTTGGTCAACGCCAGGTCCCTTCATAAAGTTTTATCTCTTGGATATGTCTGGCTCTTTCTTAGCGTCTGTGCTTGCTGGGGCAACACAGGACTGGTGAGGAGGGGGGGTCTGTGGGTCAGTTGGCATCTGACCCCCTCCCCGGGCGTAAATGCGCTTACGTTTCTCCGGACTCCTGGAGGGTCGCGGGGTGACGTAATGCGCTTTGGGCCCTTACAGGGCTAAAGGGCTCCCCTCGCCTGGGGGAGAGCCCTCCATACTATAGTCCGTACACACTCTGCACGGGGTCAGTGTCTGAGTGTGGGGACATAGGGGGCACTTGCACTCTCCCCATGCTCTTTAGGGACTCAGGAGAGAGGGTGCATAGTGAACCCATACAGCTGCGGACTTTCCCTGTCTGCCTATAAGCGGATGCAGGGGAGCCCTCAGCACTGTTTTCGAGCACACTTTTATGCGAGGCAATTCTGATGGAATACTTTTGTGGCATACAGGAGAAAAATCTTGTAAAAGTCACCAAACGCCTAAGTGTATAAACATCTACAATTCATACAAATATTAGAAGATTTATTTTTATTTCAAATGTTTTAAAATATCTCTTCTTTCTCTTATCCAGGTTGTGGTTCTGGGTGGGGAGGCCGAGGGGCTGTTGTCAAGCAAGCCGGGGTCGTTGCAATGCAGGAGGGGTTTTACTCAAGAGGAATACATCATCCAAACGGACCAAGAGCTGGCAAAGGGACAGGCTGTCTTCAACGGTCAGTACACACACACACACACACACACACACACACACACACACACACACACACACACACACACACACACACACACACACACACACACACACACACACACACACGGCTCCAGTAATAATCCCCAGCCGTTGGGTGGGGGTTGTTTCAGAGTCCTGCTGATATTTGAACCATAATGGAGGAACTTTGTTAAGACTCAGCCCATACTGTCCTTCTGTCAGGATAAATGCTGTCCAGTCTGATTACTGCACTTAACATTTTATGATGATGGTGATACACATATCGGGCCTTGTCTTCTATTTCATTGATTCATGTATGAGTCTACTTTTCTTAGAAGGGTTAGAAAGTAATAATACATAATATAATTATAGTAAATAAAGCAAACTTTGGTGTATGATTTGTGCTTTGGGAAGGCTGAACCTGATTCAAAAGTCATGCAGTTGCTTTATTGATACTAAGGCCAAGTTCAGGCATCAGTAAATAATATTTATTTCTCAAAATCAGATATTTAAAACAAACACTCAAATATGTTTGTGTCCAGGCATCATCTTCTGTGCCTATGTATGTTAGAACTACAGCTCTGGATCCAAGTCCAAGACAAAAACGTAGAATCAGGGCTCCAAACTATCTAAATGTAGTCGGGTTTGGATACAATTTGCTGTCCAGACTTTGTTTGTTTGTTTGTAACCTTTATTTATCCAGATTGGTCCAATTGAGATCATAGATGTCTTTTCCAATTTTTACTATTATTAAAACTAATCAGGATGTACCTGAGACTGGAACCAGACCTGAAACTGGAACCAGACCTGAAACTGGAACTAGAGCTGAGAGTGGGACCAGAACTGAGTGAAAGCATAAGAAAGTGTTCTCAACTGTTTGCATCATTATAATGAAGGACTCAGCCTTTAGTTTGATAAGTTAAATGTTTACCCTAACTGGTAAATGGTAAATGACTGCAGAGTCATGAACCTTCCTATTTGTGGAAACGACCTGACCTCCTGATCCATGTCCCCCTCCAACAAGCATAGACATTTTGGGCTCCTTGGTTCCAGCGTGGGAAATAGTAATAGTAAATAGTATTGGGGTCAGATGCACTACTCCGCTTCAATAAATGAAGCAATGCTGTTCTCTTTGTAAATGCAGAACAGCGGAAACTGGCTTTTTGCACACATTTAATTTCAGAGGCATTGTGTAAAAGCATTTTTACATTTGATAAAAAGAACAATCTTCACAAAGGTTGCTGCCTATTTAAAAAGCACCTGTCCAACTCTAATGTTACCACAACAAGCTACATGTTAGCTTATGATTGCCAAGTATGCAATAATAAGGAGCTTCAAAGTGCCAGTCCCTGGTGGATTGTTACGTCTGGTCCATATGTTTGAAATTGAAAACCAAGAATATTAAAGAAATTATCCGCTCAAATATATTTTCAATATCAAACTCTTCAGCTCGTGGTAAGCTTGGCATATGTCTACTTACAGCCACTTTACTTACAAGTTGTGAGTAATGTTCCTTAATGTATTTCCTGAGTTTCAACTTTCATATCTGTGAAAGAAGCATTGTAATCACATTTAATTCATGAGAAATGCAACAGTGCTGCCAGGAAAAAGATCGGGGCAACAAATAGAAGTGAGACCGATTTTTAAACAAACCACCAGAGTATCAAGGTAGGAATTTCATGGCGGCCATGGCCGTCGTTGCTCCTCGGTCTGGCCGTTATGCCCCACAAATAGTTGTATGCCCTACGGCCACAATGGCCTGTGTGCCCCTCACACTGTTAAAATCTTGAAGTTGCTTTAAAAGCGTTAGAACAGTGGTTTCTGAACTGCATTATGCTGCGTTCACAACGGACACAATGCGAACATTCGCATTGCTCTAATCGCTGGAGTTTCACCATGGCTGTCAACTGTGTATACTCCTGTCATTCGTGTCGTGGAAACCAACTACAACACAATTAACATATTTTACCGTGATTTAATTGTAATACACGTTTCAAAATGATGCCGGACATACTGATAACGGTTAGTAAAAACCATGCTTTAATGCTTTGACAAGTGTGCAGACAAGACGGCAGGCGAAAAACCTTTTAAAATGCGTGTTTTCTGAATGTCGGATCGATCAGGCTAAACTAACCTGTATATGCTCCGTCTAAACTCACAACAACGTCCTAAAGACAGAAATAAAGCAGCGACTGTATTCACCATGACACAGACAGTCTGTGGTTTGTACATGTTTAACTTTTGTCCAGTTTCTGAACAGATATGAGGAGCTGTTAGCTCTGTGTGCTAACAGCTAACAGATAATGTTTTGGTTTTCTGACTTAACGTCAGTGGCGGAGATCCTCACTGCTGATTGGCTACCGCGAGAACGCGTTACGCAAATTTGACGCTTGAGTTTAAAACATTTATTAAAGAGACTCGTACACACACACACACACACACACACACAGTATTGCTTGTTAATACAGTTGAATGCTGGAGCTTCACTGTGCACTGCTTAATGTTGTATGTGCAGAGTTTGACCCTTGAAGGCTGTTTCCTCTGCCCTGAAATTGAATATATTTGTTACATATTAATATAATTTTAGATTTTTTTAGATAGAAAACATACCAAACACTAATTATTCAAAGTAGAGTATTTCATTTTATATACGGTAATACTAAGGAGGCATAGGCCTATATGATTATAATGTTTGACATTATTGATATTTAAAAAGTGATTTCTTTTCCATGTCATTTGTGTGTTTTTCTTATCGTGAAGTTATTTATCTGTAAGCTCCAAATCCAAATGTTTCCCTCAATGGCCTTTGTGCCCTGGCATGTGGCCTTTGTGCCCTAAGAAAATGTGTGACACCAAAGGCCAAATGGCCTTGCCCCTAAAATGATGAAATTCCAAGCCTGCAGAGTATATTTAAATACTTTCATATTCAGTTTGAAAACATGACTGCGGGCGTTCAGAAACACATCTGGGTCAAACTCTCCTCTGCTTGTGGTTTACCCGACCAAACCCGATCAATCAGTATAATACGTCTCTGTGCTGTGAGTCAGAGGCTGCAGTGATCAGTATCATTGACCAGGCCTCAGCAGCACGCTGATCAATGTACAGTATGTATTGGTAGAGGGGGGGTGAGAGGGGAGTGTTTGAGCTCTGCTCTCTCCACACACGCCGGTTGCTGCTTTGGATTTATTTGTTTTAAACAAAAATCTGCATTTTATTTACCCTGTGGCATTTCATTTATTAGTTTTGTTTTTAAGAATCACAACTTCACATAATGTATATTGGCGCTAAATCTGAATTGTTTTTTAATTTAATATTTTTTGTACATTTCCATTTCTTGCTAAATCTGTATGATTTTATAATAATATTATTAAAATATATATATATTTTATATTATTTTTTGAGTAGTGAGTACAATAGGAAAATAACAAATTACAATGAAAAAGAAAATATGTGCAGTATATCAGAATTTAAAATGGAAATGCTGTGCTGTTTTAATAGATTTAGTGAACTATTTGGAACAGAACTGTTCCAAATATTTATAGGAATTTGCAAGTTTCCCAGAATGTAGTATGAGGAATGCCTCACATGGTGTGTGCGGTCATGTAGTTTGTATGGATATAACATTGTAAGTAGTCTTTAAAGAAACCTTCCTTTACCAATTTAAACAGTAGTTCAGTCTGAGAAAAACTTGATAAAGTAATCTCGATATAGTTTAAAACATGTTCTACATATGGCAATGAATAATCCGACTAAAACATGTTCCCTACTGTCATGTTTTCCAGCCTCCAGAGATGTGTGTTGAGTCAATATGTCCACACAGCTGTCTGCTTATTCTCTCCATACAGGAAGTATGTTTGTTATTGATGCCTGTAAAAGAGCACGTCACTGCACAGAGCACACTGCTTTTAAAGGGGAATTGCAGGCATTGTGTTTGAATGACACAGTGTTACAGACTCTCTTCCGCACCAGGAACAGTTAGTTCACAGATAGTTTACTTTGGTTCTGCTGAGCGTTGTTTCCACGGCTACCGGTCTCATGGACCGTAGAGATGTGTACATGTAGTGCCGATCTGCTGTTTAGAAGAACAGAAGAAGCATGTGGTTGTACAGGGCAGATCCCACTGTGAACATGTGAAACTCCATGAATATGAAACAGGTTTTTCTGTCGGAAGAAATGAAGGTCAGAAAGTGACTCCTCCGCTGGAAATAAATCACTTTTTTATGATTTAAAAAAAAAAATTGTATTCTGAAGGAATGTGTGAAACAAAGCTGACCAACCAAACAGGCTTTTGCTTATTACATCAAAGTATCAGGCAAAAACCCTAGTATAGCAGCGCTGAGAAAGTGTGTGTGAGTGTGTGTGATCACATGTCTGTGTGCTTCATTGGACTTGTATGAGAAGTGTAACGAGGCAACAGTGACTGAAGCTGACAGAGCGGCTAGGGAAACAAGAGAGAGCCTCAAATCGGTGTGTGTGTGCAGGGTTGGGAGGGTTACTTTAAAATGTATTCCGTTACAAGTACAAGGTAACTGTAATTTTTTTAAATCTGTAACCTGATCTGAGTTTCAAAATATAGAAGTAATGTAACTTCATTACTTTCCGTTACTTTTGGATTTCTCCAAGATCAAATGCAAAAAAGAAAGGAACAAATGAGAAGAATTGAAATCTGCCCCTTTTATAACAAAATGTGCTCGTTTTTGGTTTTATAGTAACATTGTTATTCTTGCCATTTGTTTTAACGGCCTCATGACTCATGGTGTGTTGCCGGACTCCATGTTGACTGTTGCCTTGGTGCCTGTCATTAAGGACAAAGCGGGCAAGGTAGGGAGCTTGGATAATTATAGACCAATTGCTCTAGCCAGTGTGTTATCCAAAGTCCTGGAAATAATTTTGTTGGATAGACTATGTTCTTATTTATGTACCTCAGATTTGGCTTCAAGGCTAAGCATGGTACTGAGCTATGCATCTATGCTTTGAACTAAATGGTAGAAACATATAGAAGAC